AGGGACTGTGGATTGGCTTTCCAGCACCACCAAGGACTGTTTTGATACAGAACCTCAAGATTTCATCCAGCTGAGCCCCAGACTGTTATTGACTGCTGCAGGCAAGCAGCACAAAGTGCTTTGCACATTTTGAGACCTGTAATTTTGTTAGCCATTCAGTACTGTGCTCTGTAATCAGCTGCTAGCACTTACAGAGAAGCAGGACTGTGTTTAGAATGTCCATCTATCACACAACTACTAAAAACATTGACCTGTTAGGAGGACCAGGACGTTACCTTCATACTTCCAACTATCCCGGAGCAGGTAGATGTGATGTGCAGTAGCAGCAAGCACTCAGGAAAGACCTTGGCTCTGCTGGAAACCCCCAACTTCAGGTAAGGTCAATGATTTGCCTTCAGTAGTGGCACTTGAAGCTCACTCTCCATTGCACATCTCATTTCTGAAGGTCTTTCTTGAAAATAAACTGGTTTCTCTGACATTCAGCATGCCATATCTTGTGCTGGGGAGGAGTCCTAGCAACTCCCCCAGGACACTAGCTGAAGAGGAGAGACTAATAAAACACTGTGCAAAGGTATGGCTGTCAAAACACTTCTCTGTTCATTTTTTGGAAGCAACTCCAGCTTGTGGGTTAAAATGAAGCCAGCCAGTTCTCTGACTGTATTCCCACACATGGCAAAGTTTGGTCATTTCGCAGTGAGGAACACGATATTTTGAAGCAGTGGTTGGGTTTCCTCAATGACAAAATTATAATAATACCTCATAATTTATACCGCACTGTCATCACTTGCATCTTACTCTGCTTTCTTCAGAAACAGTTTGAATTTAGAAATCTATTCAGCACTGATTTTAAAGATTAGATGTATATGATAGCTGTGTCCAAGCACTGCAGCTATGCTTGATGAAATTTGTAATCAAATATTTCAAACTGAATGATATTCATGGCAAAATAATTCTTTTGCAGTCCTCCCAGGACTTGCTCAATGAAGCCCCATTCAGTCATGCTCAAGAAATGAAGGACTCATCTGTCATCTGCAGGAATACTAACAGCTTCCCTTCAGTAAATGAGTAATAGCCCAAAATGAGGGGAGTAGTTCCAAAATACATAGGAAGTTGTTGTCTGAGGGAACATAACCCATGTGTTTTGGAGATACAAATGTATAGACAGAAGATAAATAAACATGCAGAGTTTTGACTAACCTTTATTCAGTACTCCAATACAGCTCATTTCCCTGCAATTGTGTTTGATAGACACACACAATTTGCTAACTCTGAAGAGAGCAATAATTTTCCCTCAGTCACTAACATCACCAAAAATGCCACCACCTACATCATTCCTCTCTAATGTAATAATACCCTGTTAAGCAAAAAGCTTTGATGATTATATTACTGCATAATGTTTCTCTAAATGAAAAGAAAGAAAGAAAAGAAACAAGCTCAGCAATAATCAACCTCTTTCCGCTGTTTACATGGAAATCAAGTGGAATTTAAATAAATAACTGTTCTTTAAGGAAGTCAGACTCAGCTTCCCTAGCAGGGAGAGGCAGATGAGTGATACCCACAGCCAGCTCCTCCAAGAAGTGAGGTGTGCCCTTCTGCGTTGTGTCTGACCCCATCACTGCTCCCGATACTTGAGGACCTCTAGGCACAGGACCTACAACAGGCAGGTGCTGAAATAGCACAATCTGTCCAGGGCTGCCCAATCTATTATGGCTCCAGCCGTCTGACCCTGTGTCCTCTACAGCCTGGCCACCTCTGTAGGACAGCAGGCAGAAGGGACTGCGTGCCCCTGCCTCTCCCCTCCCGTTGCCCAGTGTATTGGCTTAGCCCCTTGGAACAGGGAGGGCTCCCTGATGGAGCTGAAGTGGCATGAAGCCCTGGGTACATGAGCACGCGTCTGCCAACCCTGCTGCAGAGGTGGTAACCCCCAGGAAAGTGGCAGAGTCACGGGACCCTCATGCCAGATTCCCCACTGTTATGGAAATAAATCAGGAGATTGCCTAAAACACCAGTGTGGACAACACACTCACCAGCAAGATGGGGCTTCCCTGGCACGCTTGGCAGGTGAGGAATAAACATGCAAGCAGTGATTTTGCTTGCTCAATCCAGCCTGATGCTACAGGAGCTAAGGCAGTGTTTTAACTTCACTGACCACGCTCAGGTGACACTAAATGCATCACACCACAAATCACAGCGCTCACACCCCTTTGTATTGACCTGAAGGAGTTTCTCAGCCAGCCAGAGACTAATTAGGCAGACAGAAATCAAGCCAGGACTGCTATTCAGTGTGCTGTCCTGCCCCAACACCTTGAAGAGCCAAGGGGAAAGGTCTCTGCTACTGCCACTGTAGCAGCAAAATGGAAATACTCTAGGAAAGCTGCTTCTTTGAAACAGTCTTCCCAGAAGGCAAGCTGACATTGCCTTTCAACCTGTTATAAACCTGGACAGAATTATGTCTCTTCTGAGCACCCCAGTAGAGAAACCTACTGAAAGGCTCTCAGAGCATCCTGGAGAAGATCAGATGAACAAGATGGTAACATGGGGTTGGAGCTACCAACCATCTCCCTGAGAGGCAAAACCAAGCACTCCAAACCAAGAGTGTCCTCAGGGTCCCAAACTGTCATCCATCAGCATCACCATTGTCAAATGACAGCAAGTTAGGCAAGGATGTACTGGATGCTGAAAATAAATAAGGTTTTGACTAAGAGATGTCTTAAATTTTGGCCCAAATTGGATGTAGAATATTCTAAAACAGGATCTTATGAACAACACCACTGGCCCCGCACCACCAAAACTCTGCCTTCATAATGGCCAAAAAAAAAAATCTCAACTGAGGAAAATGGAGCACTTGGTTCTCATTAGCAGCAGTCACAGCTTCCTGGTCTAGTAACAGAGCTTTCCAAAAAGAACAAGCCCAAAATGAAACCTTCAGGGATAGGATAAAAAGAACATATATCCAAACATTTTGGACTCCATTGGGTATTATCTTTCATTTTGCATTAATAATAAGGTAACATTATTGCTGGCCACTGCAAGCAATTCCCTTGGATTTTAGGAACAGTGACATCTGGCAAAGGGGAAACAGCAAACTAACTGCTTTTGCCACAAAAACTCTCAAATTTGGGGGTGCCACTGATTGATACTGCTACAGTACCAGTATTTATACACTCATTGAATCACAGGCTTGAAATTACAGAGGGTTGCTATCACACCTGCAAAACCACAGCCAGGTTGACCTGCCCAGCACCCACAGATCAAGGAGTCACTGCTTTTATTCTGCCACGTGGCAGAATTGGGAGTGATGGTCACCCCAAACCGCTGTCTTACTCACTGCCTGTTGGGAGCAAAGGCCATGCGCTTTGCAGGATTATAACTTGCAGGTGTTACCCCCACACGGCCATCATGGCTTTGCAAGCCCGAAAATTAAAGCAGCAGATAAATAACCAATGAGTCTTCCCATCAATGCTATATTCTCACTGGACAAACCTGTAAGGATTCAACTCTTTTTTTTTTTTTCAGTATCCAGCTTTATTCAGTTAAACTTGTTATTTGCCCCTGTTGCAAATCTCACTTGCTGAAGCACTTTCTCAGTTGGACTAAAATGGCATATTACTCCCAAGGCCCATAAAACGTCCTGGATTGCCCATGCTGCGGATTAACAGTGTTTCCTTTTCAAGAAGGACCACTTCACTAGCGTTTTGTATCCAAAGATGTCCATCCCCAAGATGAACCCCCTTTGGCAAGAGGGGGATGATTTCATGCCCTCCGGTACGTTGCAACCTCAGGTATGAATGAACTTTTGTGTCCTCATCTTTAGCAGAGAAAGGTCTTTGCCTTTGCAAAGGGAAATATGAGCAAGTCTGCTGGCCCACAAAGAGCAAAGCTGGGCCAGTAACTGATTTTACAGCATGCAGCAGCTGAAATAAAAAAGCAGGAATAATCTATATCATTGCAAGAACCTTCATTTCTGATTTGAACTCTTAAAGGTTTCAAGTTTTCTGGGACAGGAGGCAGCAAAAGAGAGCAAATGCAATTAAATCAAAGGGAATTTATTAAAATGAAGTTGTTCCAATCTGGAAAACACAAAAGTATCTTGCTTTGAAAAAGTCTCAAACAACATTTGGCTGTCAAAAAAGCTTCCCTCAATTTAAATGATTCAACAAAAATAAGATGCACCTGTAAAAAAAATTTCCAGTGCTGCTGAGTCTGTATTCATTTTTATTTAAGAAAACAGTTTTATCAAAACCCAGGAAGACTTCTGCTTTAGTGGAGACCCTCTGATGCTTACAATGTACTGTTTTTTGACACAATGACCCCTCAAAATTTTCCAGTGGATGTGCGAGTAGCAGGTGTAGGCTAAATATCGATTTCCTCATGTTACTTATTTTCTACAGACCTTAAGAAGGAACCCAGAACTCCCCCAGGGGCCGGAAAGCAGAGGTCAAAACCTCTGCTCTCGGACATAAATCAGTACCGACCGTGACGTGTACCACATGCCGTGAGAGGCAGCGGCTGGTGGCTGCTCTTCCACCCTTACCTCGCCCCG